TTTTAGCCGGTAGGCCGGTTTGGGTATCCGGACATTGTTTGGGAAAAGGGCAAAAGGGAAAGGTGACGTTTGTGTTTGGGGGGGGTTTGGCGTTGTTTATATAGCTTCGTGTAAATATTTGTCCTTATCGTGAAAGTTGATAAATTTCACACAATTTATTTATTTAAATGAGCCCCATTTCATTCCGGGTTATGCTATTCAGAAAAACTGTCCCGCTGTGTGTGGGCACGTGGAACTCAAATTAGTGAAACCCTTTTTTTTTTTTTTTTTTTGGTGAGCGATGAAAATTTATTTACGCAAGGATAAATATCATTTTTTATCTAAATATATGTACGGTGTGTGTAAGTGTAAGGGTCTGTTTGTTTCACGTGTGTAAGTCAGTAATTTTAATTTATTAATAAAAATTTTATATAAGAATAAATTTTTAAATAATTTTTTTGTGAGATGATTATAGCAAAAACAGAATGATAGGTTCAAGTATGGGACCAAACGGGACCTAAAATTCTCTTTACTAATAAATACTAAGGACCCGTTTGGAATGTTTTAACGTTTGAAATACAAATTTCTTATGAGAGAAAAATATTGTAACAATATCAATGATTTAAGTTTGAGTATATTAAACAAACATGCCCTAAATATGGCATTTTGCATATTTTTTCCAATTTTAAAAAATAGGGTATAGCAACTTGCTCCCTAGAATTTTTATTTTTACAATTTGTATCCTCAATTTGTTAAATTGTTGAATGCGTCCTATTTTACTAACTTGCTAAATTATTGTATTTCACCCCAATTTAGTGATGGTTGGATTAATTGGTGACAAAAAGTACATTAAACCGAAATTCCATTCTAATTCAAATTAAAACATAAATATCTCAATTTCTCAACTTATTTGAGCAATAATCAGGGCAAAAATAGTAAAATGGCCACAACAACAATTTTACAAATTTGACTTAAATTGCCAAATTAAAAGTTTTGAGGACAGGTTGTCGAATAAGCATTATAAAATTCACTCGGTTGAGTTTGTTGGGTTTTTAGTGAAAGTGTGACTAAGCACATAAATATGAGACAAAAGAATATTTAAGATGCAATTTGTAACGCTTTGAAGTTTGGAAACAAAAATAAAAATTAACCTTATTTGCTTAACTTATTTTAAAATCAATCCTATTTTTTTAGTTGAATGAAATTATTGTTTTATTCAATAAATAAATGAATATGTCGCAAAAGTGCTCTTTCTTTTTTCTTGAGTGATCTTGTGGCAATAATACAAAACATAGAATATAATTTTATTATAGGAAGGAGCTACGAAATTTTTTTGAAAAAGAAAAAAGTGAGTTAAATCAAATTTTGGATATAATTTTTATAAAATTTTTAGTAGTTGTCTTTTTGTTGTATTTTGTTTTGTTTTTTACTCCAAAACCTTTAAGTAAATATTTATTAGGTTTTGTTAGACGTCTTGATCAATTTTTTATTTTAATGGGAATTTGATTAATTCTCACGTTTTATGAGCTCGGAATGATTAGACTTTTTTTACCTAACAACTTTATTTATTTAAGGGGAAAGCTTATTATAATTTAGACGAGTGGCTTTTAACAAGTCTTTCTAATTCGATTCTTTTCTTTTCCTTTTTGCAACTTGTTCGTAATTCAATTCTCTCATATGTTATTTCTTTATTACACAACTTTAGCAAATGAAAAGTGCGATCCCAGCCCGACTTTCCTTTTCAAACCCAAAAATAAAAGTTCGAAATGTACATTTCATTTGCCGTGAACATGACATGCTTACATATGTATATTCATTAGCATGAAAAGTTGGTTTTGCTTTGCCCCTAAAACATAACCAAACTATACTACGAGATATGTCATGCGAGTTTAAAATTCGTTGCAAAATGATTTTATTTTTTGTATGAAAATAAAAATAAAAATATTTTTAATTTCAGACATAAATCATTTTTAAAAATGTATTTGATAATTTTATCAAGAAATTATTTTCAGTATAAAAAACTCATTAATGTCTCTCTCTCCTCAAGAGAGAAGAAAATAAAAACAAATCATTTTTATTTTCATTTTTTGTCTTTATTACGTCAAACGTCGTTTTAAAAATATTTTCATTTTTTCTTTCTCAAAAAATGTGAAAAATAAAAACGGAATCTGGTCATCATTTTCAACGTTCTCCTAAATATATATATATCTTTATACATGTATATATATACACACATATCTTTCTACGCGTGTGTGTGTGTATATATCCTTCGACGTGTTGAACATTTATTTAGTGCCCACGTGATATAAGTTTTAGGTTCAAAGAGAGTGTCTCAATTTCAAGTACCCAAATCAAACACAAATCCCAATCCATGTACCGTGTACCCAAATTGACTTTGGATCAATGATCAATCCTTAGTGAAAAATTGTTTTGTATCGTGGTTTTTTTTTTTTTTTTGATGTCATTAATATAGTTATATATGTCGTTTTTGTCGTTTCCAATAACATTTTGGTCTTGTGTAGAGGAGGTACGCATGAAGCAAATAGGAAAAAGGAAATCATGGTCATAAATGATCTCAAATTAATTTCCCTAAAAATTCTCTCTTTTCTAAAACTTCTAATCTAAAAAAGCATTATTTGTTACGTATATAAAGTAAATAAATATAATGACCAAAATCTATGGGTTGATAAGGGTGGCTATTATTGCGTGTTTCAAGGCACACGTTCAATTTTATGCAACGCGTCCTTGAATTATGATGACTTCCTTTTGAGCGGGCGTTTGGTATGCAGTAATTTTAAGGATGGGAATGAGAATCTGCAATATTATCCTGTTTGGTGCAAGAATTATAATTTTTAGATTCCCAAGAAAGTGATTATCATGGGATTCATTTTTCCTCATTTTGAGGTAATTTGAATACCACCCAACATGGTGTTATTCAAATTCCCAAGAATCTCAAATTCCCAGTTATTATTATTATTAATTTTTTTTATTTTTATTTTTATTATCATTTTTTTATTAATAATAATAGTATTATTATTATTATTATTATTGATCTTCTTCCATGCGAACAACTAAACACAATAATATAATATTCCTGAGAATTTAAAAAAGATTCATGTACGGAACCAACATAGTAATGTATTATTCTTAGGAATCATATTACCCTATATCACTTTCCTGAGAATATGATTTCTACTGATTCCTACATACCAAATGCCCCCTAAGTGAACTTTGGAAAAATACAGCTTCATGGATTTCAAAATAAAATAATAAAATAATTTTGGCCTTATTTAGTTCCCATTTCAAAATATATGATTTGGTTTGAATTGTGGTAATTTGACTTGTTATTTGAACTGGTATTTAAATACGTAAATAAATTATAATTTAAATTAAAAATAAAATTTAAACTGTGTTTGAATAAAGTGTTGCAAAATGTCATTAGAATTTCATAACAAATCTTATAAAACCTCATTGTAAATGACATTAAAAAAATATGCAATATAAATAGGGATTTGTTAAAAAATATGCAATATAGATAGGGATTTGTTCCTCTCTTCATTATAAACACATTGAAAAAAAAAAATCATCACTTCAAAAAAAATTATTTTAATTAGAATTAAAACAAAAAAATTATGATATTTTTAAGATTGAAGTTGAGGTGAGAGAAAAAGTAAAATCTGACTTCTTTTCACTGTAGAAAACAATTCAGATTGTGTGAATTTAGGGGAGAAGGTTAATTATAAAATCAATGATTTGAACCATCGTTAATGATTTCAATTGTCCTCATTTAAACATCAATTTGAATCTTAAACTATGCTTTCAAATGGATTTTTTGGTTTGAAAACTTGAAGCAAACATGGGGCGTTTCATGGGTTCAAATTCTTAAATATAAGTAATTTTGTTGAAGAAGAGATATTATAACCGTGTTTAGAATTGATCCCATTTTTGTTGTTCACATTTTTTGAGACAAAAATGAAAACGTTTCTAAAACGGCGTTTGGCGCAATAAAGACATAAAACGGAAATGAAAACGTTTTTTTGATTTAGTGTAAAATGAGAGAGAAGTAAAAAACGACTTTTAGTCGCTTTTTTATTTTTTGTTTTCATTGGAAACCGTTTGGCATGTCAAGGGACCTTGAAATCCGCTCCTTAGCTATAACATTCCAGAGTCATGCAGAACAGACACTAACCGTCCTCCAATAACTATTAGTTAATTAGACGAAATGAGTAGAGTACAAAAATGAATGATTCGAGTAACCCTCTGAGCTAGGGATATTAAAAAAAGGCCGTAGCAAGGAGACTTTAACAGACCAGTTAAAGTAAAGCCTCAACTTTCATACAAGAGCGTCAGTGGGATAAAATAACAATCCAAAAACTAGCTTTCTCGGACAATGTATATTGTGAAATGGTGGCGCTATAACAAATTCAGAATACCTTAACTTGCGGTTGCCGCACAAAGCTGGTCCACCTTAACTAGTCGTGCCCATTTATGCAGAGAAAGAAATATATTAATAAGTTTTTTTATACTGAAAATAATCTCTTGATAAAACTACCAAACACATTTTCAAAAATGATTTCTGTTTGAAATTAAAAACGTTTTCATTTTTATTTTCATACAAAAAACAAAATCATTTTGAAACAAATTCCAAACACGCCATATAATTTGCTGAAGAAGAGATATTACATGCTAGCACGAGTCACGTGCTTTAGGCACGTATCTGCTGTGTGGTTATATTTAAAACAAATATTACAAATTTATTTACCAAATAGAGAAAATCTTATTAAATTAATTATAATATTTTTTATTAAATT